GTTCTTGATTGGACACCTCGGCTTAGTTCCTTCACCTCGTCTACTGTTAGAGAACCACGAGGAGCTGTTATTATCACCCCGTCCCTCCTTCCGCCCTTCCTCCCGTCCCTTCCCCCGTCCCTCCTCCCGTCCCTCCACCCGTCCCTTCTCCCGTCCCGTCACCGCCCCTCCCCCGTCCCTCCACCGTCCCTTTCCCGTCCGTTCTGCCGCCCCTCCTCCAGTCCCTCCTCCCGTCCCTCCCCCGTCCCTCCCCGCCCCTCCTCCCCGTCCCTCACCCCCCCGTCCCTCCCCCGTCCCTCCCCCCGTCCTCCCCCACCCTCCCTCCCGCCCCTTCTCCCGCCCCCTCACTCCGTCCGTCTTCCGTCCCCTCCTCCCGTCCCCTCCTCCCGACCCTTCTCTCCCGTCCCGTCTGCCGCCCCTCCTCCAGTCCCTCCCCCGTCCTTCTTCATCCCCTCCTCCCGCCTCCTCCCCGCCCCCTCCGTCCCTCACCTCCCGTCCCGTCTTCCGTCCTCCCCATCCCCTTCTCCCGTCCTCCCGTCCCTCCTCCCGCCCCTCCCCCCCGCCCCTCCTCCCGCCCTCCCGCCTCCCCCGCCCCTCCTCCCGCCCCTCCTCCCACCCTCCTCCCGCCCCACTCTCCCGTCCCGTCTTCCGTCCCTCCTCCCGTCCTCCCTCCCGTCCCTCCTCCCGCCCCTCCCCCCCGCCCCTCCCCGCCCTCCTCTCCACCACCTAATGCTCCCAGGTTCCTCGTGTCCAGTGTAGTTTTATGTGTTATTTGTGGATTTTTATAACAATAATATTAAATAGTAAGGTAGGTAAGGGTTTGTGTATATAAGAGTACTACAAGTTATTGTTATGGTGTGTGTGTGTGTGTAATAATAATAATAATTAACGGTTTATTGAAAGAACTTGGCAGCCAGAAGGCTGAAAATATACAGTTACATATTTGGGGAATGGGTTTCGAATTACAAATAATATACAAGTAACATAAGTGACACAAATAAGATATATAATAACTAGATGGGGAAAAGCTCAAACTACAGTGCATTTCAACATAGTGACAGTACAAGGAGTAGTGTTTACTGGGAGTGAATACACTGGTTTATTACAAGTTATTGATAATTTTTACAATGGTTGGGACTGGGCTGTTCTTATAGCGATCAGTTCGTGCACGTATGGGCTGGATCGGTTGTGAGTGTCGAACAGCAATTCTCCGGACCTAGGGATCTCAGGTAGTAATGAGGAGCCAGTGTCGAGATGGTGTAAGCTTCTTACCAAATTTGCAGATGAGGTCGTGGTGATGGTCAGTGAGAGTCGAAAGGGTCAGTGTGTTGAGCGCTTCTTGATATGTGGAGTAGGAAGTGGAGAGAATAATCTTGCATGCCCTCTTTTGCACTTTTTCTAGGTGTTTACGTTGTGTGGCATTTAGGGAGGAAGACCAGGTGGGGGAGGCATACAATAGGTGAGCTTGGGAAGTATGAATGTTGTGTAAACACCGAGGAGCTCGGGTGCAGGAACTCCGAGGGACTTGAGTCGGCGGAGGAGGTGGAGACGGAAACTGGAGGATTTGACAACTTCACTGACGTGTGGTTTCCAATTTAGTTTGTTGTCTATGGTGACGCCGAGGAGCTTCGTGGAATCTACAACCTGGAGTGTGTTCGGACCTAGAGTAATGGAAGTAGGTGGGACATTGTCGGAGGAGAGGTTGATGTGCATAACCATGGTCTTGGTATGGTTGATGGTGACATGGTTGTTGGTTGGCCCAGTTTTGGAGACTGTTCAATAAATCCTGAAGGGCGGTATAGTTGGGAGCAGAATTGTTGACGCTGATCCCAATGGTGGAGTCGTCGACATATTTCCAGCGAGCAGGGTTTTCTCTTAGGGCATCATTAATGAGCATAAGGAAGCAGAGTGGTCCCATCTTGGTGCCTTGGGGGACGCCACAGGTGAGTGACTGAAAGGTGGAGACAGCCCCTCGGAAGCGTACAGCTTGGCGTCGGTCACTGAGGAAGTCTGTAAGCCATGGTATAAGACTTCTCCGAAGCCCGAGGTCAATAGCTTTGTTGGTAGATATGTTGTGGTCGACTAGGTCAGATACTTGTAGTGAAATCAATAGAAGGCGGCTTAGCTACAGACGTTTTCGTTTCTCCGAGATGGCGGTATATGTAATCGAGAAAGCTGAAGACAGTGAGTGGTGGAGGAAGTTTTTCATGTTGCCAAATTGCTTTGGTGTCTACGACTCCTGCAATATCCTTTATAAGCCAGTCGAATACAAAACTTTCACAGATTAGGCTGGAGTATTGGGGTGATTACCCAATAGGTCGTAGCTGATTTAAGGATTGTGGGCTGGTTGACTTGGGCACTGGTGATACATAAGAGGTCTTCCAGTCAGCTGGGCATCTGGCTTGACTGAGAAAAGCATTGATGATGGAGCATAGGGGTTTAGCAAGCTCCGGGGAGAACTCCTTGAAGAGTTTCATTGGTAAGTCAATGGGGGTGGTAGAGCGTTTTAATTTTAGTTTGTCCAGGCGTTTTGCTACTTCAAATTCTTCTACTGAGTCAGTGGGAAGGGGGGCTGGTAGGTAAGCAGGGAGAGTGGTTGTGTCAAGCCGGGGGAGCGTCTGGCATATAGTAGCGAAATGGTTATTTGTTTGCTCAGCTGCGTCAACAGTAGGTGTGTGTGTGTGTGTGTGTGTGTGTGTGTGTGTGTGTGTGTGTGTGTGTGTGTGTGTGTGTGTGTGTGTGTGTGTGTGTGTGTGTGTTTACCTGGTCAGACAAAGGTGCCCAGATGCCGATGTGGCTCACGGGTGCGTTACGAGTACGTGTGTGTGTTTGTAAATGGATATTTACCAGCTAACGTCAGTAAGTAGGGATTGTGATACTACTACTACTACTATTTTTTCTACTACTACTACTATTTTTCTACTACTACTACTACTACTACTACAGTCATTATTATTATTATTTTAAAGCCGTCGACTCCAAAATAACCTCACCTGCCTTAACCAGAATCATCCTAGGGGCATTGGTTTAGTTTGGTTGGTTGGTTTTGTCTAGAATATAAATGAATCGTTGGACCTGTTCACGGTATAGTTCTTCCAATATGGTTTGTGTTGCATCTCTTTGTTGCGTGTGTACTGATGTTTGGTCTGTGTGTGTGTGTGTGTGTGTGTGTGTGTGTGTGTGTGTGTGTGTGTGGATGTAGGTTAGGTTAGGCTTAGTAGCATTAGGTTAGGTTAGTTTAGCTTTATTTAGAGTTTGGGTTAATTTAGATAAGGTTAGATTAAGTCATGTTAAAGTTAGTTTAAGTTAGGTTTGGGTTGTTTGATTGTCTCGTGTTAGTTAGTTAGTTAGATTAGTTTAGTTAGTTTAATTAACCTAGACTGTATACCTTGTGTTTCGTCTGATGCCGGGAATAATTCAGCCCCCCCCCCCCGAGTCCTCCTGTTGTAGTGTATCTGTCACTATCAATCTACAGTGTGTCGCAAAAAGCCCGCACTCCTGAGCACAATTCACCATTTATCTTTTTATTTCATCAAACGCTCAAATTACATACTGTGACTTTACCTTACCTTACCTAATCTAATCTAATCTGCCCTAATTTAACTTTACCCAACCCAATCTAACCTGACCTAACCTAACCTAACCTAACCTAAGCCAACGTAAGCTAGCTGTGTTGTAATATTATAATGTTTTTTGTTATTGTTATTGTTAATAGTAGTAGTAATAGTAGTAGTAGTAATAATAATAATAGTAGTAGTAGTACCCAGAATCGGTTGAGTTATGGGTCGTTAGTGTTTATGAAGGCATATACCTGTAGTAAATTCTCTAATGGTTGGTTAATTATCTGTTAGCAGGTGAGGGTGGCGGGTGACCTGAGGGGAAAGGGGAATAAATAAAATAAGATTTATCCCCACTAATAAACTATCTCCACTAATAAACTATCTCCACTAATAAACTATCTCCACTAATAAACTATCTCCACTAATAAACTATCTCCACTAATAAACTATCTCCACTAATAAACTATCTCCACTAATAAACTACCTCCACTAATAAACTACCTCCACTAATAAACTGTCTCCACTAATAAACTATCTCCTCTAATAAACTATCTTCACTAATAAACTATCTCCACTAATAAACTATCTCCACTAATAAACTACCTCCACTAATAAACTATCTCCACTAATAAACTATCTCCACTAATAAACTACCTCCACTAATAAACTATCTCCACTAATAAACTATCTCCACTAATAAACTACCTCCACTAATAAACTACCTCCACTAATAAACTGTCTCCACTAATAAACTATCTCCTCTAATAAACTATCTTCACTAATAAACTATCTCCACTAATAAACTACCTCCACTAATAAACTACCTCACTAATAAACTATCTCCACTAATAAACTACCTCCACTAATAAACTATCTCATAATAAACTACCTCCACTAATAAACTATCTCCCTAATAAACTACCTCACTAATAACTATCTCCACCTAATAAACTATCTCCACTAATAAACTACACTCCACTAATAAACTATCTCACTAATAAACTATCTCCACTAATAAACTATCTCCACTAATAAACTACCTCCACTAATAAACTATCTCCACTAATAAACTACCTCCACCAATAATTATCTCCACTAATAAACTATCTCCACTAATAAACTATCTCCACTAATAAACTACCTCCACTAATAAACTATCTCCACTAATAAACTATCTCCACTAATAAACTACCTCCACTAATAAACTACCTCCACTAATAAACTATCTCCACTAATAAACTATCTCCACTAATAAACTATCTCCACTAATAAACTACCTCCACTAATAAACTACCTCCACTAATAAACTATCTCCACTAATAAACTACCTCCACTAATAAACTATCTCCACCCGTTTACTGTACCGTGTCGAGTCGGTGGCTGGATACACCTGTACATATCATATACTAATGCATGTTCCTTCGTTCACACCTCCTACAGATCAAGGTGAGCGGGTGTCTGTGTCTGGTGTGCGCGGTGTTGTGCGTCGTCGTCACCGTCACTACCACCGTCCTCCACATGAACCGCCTACAGACCCTTCCAGAGTGTGAGTTCTTCCCCCACTCCCAGTCCTGCACCTGTACTCCCTACACAGGTGTTCTCGACCCTAGCCAGGATGGTACGTTAATGCTCATATGTTTTTAGTATGGTTAGGTTAGGTTAGATTAGATTTGGTTTGGTTAGGTTTAGTTTGGTTAGGTTAGTTATGGTAGAGGGATAGATAGATAGCTGGATAGAATAGTCAAGCTCTGTAGCAAAAACTTATTAATGAGATGGAAGAGGATGGTTAATGAATCAAAGTGTACAATTTAATGTGGGGGACAGGTAGATGGAGTCATAATTCCGTATTACATTTAAAAGAAGGTCATTGGTGTTAGGATAGGAATGGATAATATATACTTGAGTCCTGTCGTGTATAAGATGGATAGTATATGATATAGACCGATATATGGACAGCAAAATTCCTATAGGATATATTTGGACAGGCTATTAGGTGAAATGGTGTGCCTCGTTTAATTATCGAACTCGTTTATACAAGCAGGAAATATCGTCATCAAATTATAGTAAACATTGTTGCCACACACCGCCATCGTCAATATTTATGAGTGGAACCATTGGCCGCGTCGTTATGGTTTAAAATAAATTCATTCATTGTTATTAATTTGTGTGAAGTGAATTGATTATTGACCTATCACAGTCCACGACCCCCCGCCCGCCCGCCGCCCTCACACCGAGTTGTAACTGTAAAATACATACGTTATGTGTGTTAACGGTAATGTTAGGTTTATACATAATACATGACCGTGTATTTTACAGTATTGGTACATGAAGATAGTGTAGAGAAGTAGGTATGCATACACAACAAGTAATGGTATAAGGGCAACGTAATGTTTCATACAAATGTTCACGAGCAGCAATAATCAGTCAGTGAAGATCACCGTTCACAGAGCTACCGGCAGAGTTGACCACGCCCCCCCCCCTCAGGTGTTAAGGAGGTTGAGTGCCAGCTGGACGCGTCGTGCCCATAACTCACCTCTGTGTGTGGCAGTGTCGATGTTATTAACGTTTATGTCTCTACTCACAGGTGCTCGCTGTATCTACATTAATTATTATCTTCTTCAGGGGTGATTATACTGGTGTGTCTGTTAGTTTGTTTGTCTTGTACACCTCAGGATATCTGTATATAGTTTAAATAAGATTATCAGCTTCCTTGAGGGTGTGATTGCTTCTGTTATTGTTATTAAATAAACCACAACAACCCTAACTATTACTTTTATTATTATTATTATTATTATTATTATTATTATTATTATTATTATTATTCATTAGATTCTCGTCAGTTATAGAGCATATAATGTGAAAATTATACTACATGGTCTTACAAACATAACAGTACTCCCTCTTTTACTGTGTACATCATAGTGTGTTCTGATTGGTTCTCCCACAGTGCGTTACGACTTCGCACTAGTGAGCAGCGGGAGTAACTGTGACGTCATCCACGGGCCGCTGTACTCGTGTCTGCGGGCGCTGTTTGGCCTCTCCGTCATCGGGATTCTCGTCTCCATCTTCTCCTGTATGTTGGTCTACCAGCTCCTTAGGTAAGTGTTTCTGTCTGTGTGGCTACTTCTGTGTCTTTGGCTATGTCTGTGTCTTTGGCTATATCTGTGTCTTTGGCTATCTGTTGCTGTGGCTATGTCTGTGTCTTTAGCTATGTCTGAATCTTTGGCTATATCTGTGTCTTTGGCTATCTGTTGCTGTGGCTGTCTGTGTCTTTGGCTATGTCTGAATCTTTGGCTATATCTGTGTCTTTGGCTATCTGTTGCTGTGGCTACTTCTGTGTCTTTGGCTATGTCTGAATCTTTGGCTATATCTGTGTCTTTGGCTATCTGTTGCCTGTGGCTACTTCTGTGTCTTTTGCTGCTGTATGAATCTTTGGCTATATCTGTGTCTTTGGCTATCTGTTGCCGTGGCTACTTCTGTGTCTTTGGCTATGTCTGAATCTTTGGCTATATCTGTGTCTTTGGCTATCTGTTGCCGTGGCTACTTCTGTGTCTTTTGCTATTGTCTGAATCTTTGGCTATATCTGTGTCTTTGGCTATCTGTTGCCGTGGCTACTTCTTCTGTGTGTCTTTGGCTATGTCTGAATCTTTGGCTATATCTTGTCTTTGTATCTGTTGCCGTGGCTACTTCTGTGTCTTTGGCTATGTCTGAATCTTTGGCTATATCTGTGTCTTTGGCATCTGTTGCTGTGCTGCTTCTTGCTGTCTTGTCTGAATCTTTGGCTATATCTGTGTCTTTGGCTATCTGTTGCTGTGGCTATCTCTGTGTCTTTGGCTATATCTGTGTCTTTGGCTATCTGTTGCTGTGGCTCTGTGTCTTTGGCTATGTCTGAATCTTTGGCTATATCTGTGTCTTTGGCTATCTGTTGCCGTGGCTACTTCTGTGTCTTTGGCTATGTCTGAATCTTTGGCTATATCTGTGTCTTTTGGCTATCTGTTGCCGTGGCTACTTCTGTGTCTTTGGTTTGTCTGAATCTTTGGCTATCTGTGTCTTTAGTATCTGTTGCTGGCTATGTGTCTTTGGCTATGTCTGAATCTTTGGCTATATCTGTCTTTGGCTATCTGTTGCCGTGGCTACTTCTGTGTCTTTGGCTATGTCTGTCTTTGGCTATATCTGTGTCTTTGGCTATCTGTTGCCGTGGCTACTTCTGTGTCTTTGGCTATGTCTGAATCTTGGCTATATCTGTGTCTTTGGCTATCTGTTGCTGTGGCTACTTCTGTGTCTTTTGTATGTCTGAATCTTTGGCTATATCTGTGTCTTTGGCTATCTGTTGCTGGCTATCTCTGTGTTCTTTGGCTATATCTGTGTCTTTGGCTATCTGTTGCTGTGGCTACTTTGTGTCTTTGGCTATGCTGAATCTTTGGCTATATCTGTGTCTTTGTCTATCTGTTGCTGTGGCTATCTCTTGTGTCTTTGTATATGTGTCTTTGGCTATCTGTTGCTGGCACTTCTGTGTCTTTAGCTATGTCTGAATCTTTGGCTATCTGTGTCTTTTTATCTGTTGCTGTGGCTACTTCTGTCTTTGGCTATGTCTGAATCTTTGGCTATATCTGTGTTTTTTTTATCTGTTGCCGTGGCTACTTCTGTGTCTTTAGCTATGTCTGAATCTTTGGCTATATCTGTGTCTTTGGCTATCTGTTGCCGTGGCTACTTCTGTGTCTTTGGCTATGTCTGAATCTTGGCTATATCTGTGTCTTTGGCTATCTGTTGCCGTGGCTACTTCTGTGTCTTTAGCTGTCTGAATCTTTGGCTATATCTGTGTCTTTGGCTATCTGTTGCCGTGGCTACTTCTGTGTCTTTGGCTATGTCTGAATCTTTGGCTATATCTGTGTCTTTGGCTATCTGTTGCCGTGGCTACTTCTGTGTCTTTGGCTATGTCTGAATCTTTGGCTATATCTGTGTCTTTGGCTATCTGTTGCTGTGGCTACTTCTGTGTCTTTAGCTATGTCTGAATCTTTGGCTATATTCTGTGTCTTTGGCTATCTGTTGCTGTAGCTATCTCTTGTGTCTTTGGCTATATCTGTGTCTTTGGCTATCTGTTGCTGTGGCTACTTCTGTGTCTTTGGCTATGTCTGAATCTGGCTATATCTGTGTCTTTGGCTATCTGTTGTGTGTCTTCTGTGTCTTTGGCTATGTCTGAATCTTTGGCTATATCTGTGTGGCTATCTGTTGCCGTGGCTACTTCTGTGTCTTTGGCTATGTCTGAATCTGGCTATATCTGTGTCTTTGGCTATCTGTTGCTGGCTATGTTCTGTGTCTTTGGCTATGTCTGAATCTTTGGCTATATCTGTGTCTTTGGCTATCTGTTGCCGTGGCTACTTCTGTGTCTTTGGCTATGTCTGAATCTTTGGCTATATCTGTGTCTTTGGCTATCTGTTGCTGTGGCTACTTCTTCCTGTCTGAATCTTTGGCTATCTGTGTCTTTGGCTATCTGTTGCTGTGGCTATCTCTGTGTCTTTGTATCTGTTGCTGTGGCTACTTCTGTGTCTTTAGCTATGTCTGAATCTTTGGCTATATCTGTGTCTTTGGCTATCTGTTGCTGTGGCTACTTCTGTGTCTTTGGCTATGTCTGAATCTTTGGCTATATCTGTGTCTTTGGCTATCTGTTGCTGCTACTTCTGTGTCTTTGGCTATGTGAATCTTTGGCTATATCTGTGTCTTTGGCTATCTGTTGCTGTGGCTATCTCTGTGTCTTTGTATATATCTGTGTCTTTGGCTATCTGTTGCTGTGGCTACTTCTGTGTTCTTTGGCTATGTCTGAATCTTTGGCTATATCTGTGTCTTTGGCTATCTGTTGCTGTGGCTATCTCTGTGTCTTTGGCTATATCTGTGTCTTGGCTATCTGTTGCTGTGGCTACTTCTGTGTCTTTGGCTATGTCTGAATCTTTGGCTATATCTGTGTCTTTGGCTATCTGTTGCTGTGGCTACTTCTGTGTCTTTGGCTATGTCTGAATCTTTGCTATATCTGTGTCTTTGGCTATCTGTTGCTGTGGCTACTTCTGTGTCTTTAGCTATGTCTGAATCTTTGGCTATATCTGTGTCTTTGGCTATCTGTTGCTGTGGCTATCTCTGTGTCTTTGGCTATATCTGTGTCTTTGGCTATCTGTTGCTGTGGCTACTTCTGTGTCTTTTGGCTATGTCTGTGTCTTTGGCTATATCTGTCTTTGGCTATCTGTTGCTGTGTACTTCTGTGTCTTTAGCTTTGTCTGAATCTTGGCTATATCTGTGTCTTTGGCTATCTGTTGCTGTGGCTACTTGTGTCTTTAGCTATGTCTGAATCTTTGGCTATATCTGTGTCTTTGGCTATCTGTTGCCGTGCTACTTCTGTGTCTTTGGCTATGTCTGAATCTTTGGCTATATCTGTGTCTTTGGCTATCTGTTGCTGTGGCTATGTCTGTGTCTTTGGCTATGTCTGAATCTTTGGCTATATCTGTGTCTTTGGCTATCTTTTGCCGTGGCTATGTCTGTGTCTTTGGCTATGTCTGAATCTTTGGCTATATCTGTGTCTTTGGCTATCTGTTGCTGTGGCTATGTCTGTGTCTTTGGCTATGTCTGATCTTTGGCTATATTCTGTGTCTTTGGCTATCTGTTGCCGTGGCTATGTCTGTGTCTTTGGCTATGTCTGAATCTTTGGCTATATCTGTGTCTTTGGCTATCTGTTGCTGTGGCTATGTCTGTGTCTTTGGCTATGTCTGAATCTTTGGCTATATCTGTGTCTTTGGCTATCTGTTGCCGTGGCTATGTCTGTGTCTTGGCTATGTCTGAATCTTTGGCTATATCTGTGTCTTTGGCTATCTGTTGCCGTGGCTATGTCTGTGTCTTTGGCTATCTCTGTGTCTTTGGCTATGTCTATCCCTGTCTCGATGGTCGGTTTACTATAGCTCCTCTGGTAAGTGTCTTAGTGTCTCTTAGTATATGCGTCTATTTTGTCTTTCTGTCTGTGTGTGTGTGTGTGTGTGTGTGTGTGTGTGTGTGTGTGTGTGTGTGTGTGCCTTGGTGAACATCTCGTCTCTTCTCCCTGGCACAGAAGACACTCGAGATGGTTCCATGTTTCACTGAGATACCTAAATCAGCAGGTGAAACAAGCTAGGGTGTCTTAATGAGCAGGTGAAACAAGCTAGGTGTCTGAGCAGGTGAAGCAAGCTAGGGTGTCTTAATGAGCAGGTGAAACAAGCTGGTGTCTTAATCAGCAGGTGAAGCAAGCTAGGGTGTCTTAATCAGCAGGTGAAACAAGCTAGGGTGTCTTAGGCAGGTGAAACAAGCTAGGGTGTCTTAATGAGCAGGTGAAACAAGCTAGGGTGTCTTAATGAGCAGGTGAAACAAGCTAGGTGTCTTAATCAGCAGGTGAAGCAAGCTAGGGTGTCTTAATCAGCAGGTGAAACAAGCTAGGGTGTCTTAATGAGCAGGTGAAACAAGCTAGGGTGTCTTAATGAGCAGGTGAAACAAGCTGGGGTGTCTAATGAGCAGGTGAAACAAGCTAGGTGTCTGTAATGAGCAGGTGAAACAAGCTAGGGTGTCTAATGAGCAGGTGAAACAAGCTGGGTGTCTAATGAGCAGGTGAGAAGGCTAGGTGTCTTAATGAGCAGGTGAAGCAAGCTAGGGTGTCTTAATGAGCAGGTGAAACAAGCTAGGGTGTCTAATGAGCAGGTGAAACAAGCTAGGGTGTCTTAATCAGCAGGTGAAGCAAGCTAGGGTGTCTTAATGAGCAGTGAAACAAGCTAGGGTGTCTTAATGAGCAGGTGAAACAAGCTAGGGTGTCTTGAGCAGGTGAAGCGCTAGGTGCTTAATATGCAACAAACTAGGGTGTCTTAATCGTCAGAAAGAGAATGATAACGAAACCACTCAAAGATGAGAATTTACCCTCCTCCCTCCTCCTCCTCCCTCCTCCCTCCCACCTCCCCGGTGTTCTAATAGTCTAGTTTACTACTGAATAGCGATGCTCCATTAGTTCATTAATCAGGTAATTATCTCATAGGATGGGTAATTAGTTATTCCCTCACGGAGGAGAGAGAGAGAGAGGTTGTTTGATATGGGATTT